AGACTGGTCTCAACATCTACGCCCATCCATATCGACATTCACCCCCACACCCACATCTGCCCATACCCACGCCCACACGCACACCACCACCACAAAAAGCCCACACCCGCACCACAGTATGCCCACACCCACACCCACACATTCACACCCACAGCCATACCGACATCCATACACCCACACCCTCATTGGTCGAATCTCTGAACTCGAAAAAGCTTCATTGGCTGGCTGTTCTGCTCAAAGGAATCTGGGTGGCTGAAAGCGCGGGGTCAAAACCCTAATTGGGTGATTTTCGAGGTTGAGAGAATATAATTGGTCAAATACCGTAGGTCGGAAAACCCTGACTGGCTGGTTATCTAACTTGAACAATCTGATTGATCGAATCGCGGAAGTTGGAAAGCTCTGATTGGGTGGCTCTATAGCTCGAAAGAATGTGTTTGATCGAAAGCGCGAGGTCGAAAACCCGTGATTGACTGGTTTTCCAGCTCGAAAGAATCCAATTGGTCAAATCCATGAACTCGGAAAGCCCTGATTGGCTGGTTCTCTAGCTCTAAAGAATCTGATTGGTTGAAAGCGTGAGGCCGAAAACTTCTGATTGGCTCGTTGTTTAGCTTGGAAGGATCTAGTTGGTCGAAAGCGCGGGATCAAAAACCCTTGATTGACTGATTTTCCAGCTTGAAAGAATCTGATTGATCAAAAACACGAGGTCGAAAAATCCTGATTGGCCGGTTTTTAGCTTGAAAGAATCTGACTGGCCGAAAGCGCGAGGTCGAAAACTCCTGAGTGGTCGGTTTTTTAGCTTGCAGAAATCTGATTGGTCGAAAGCGTGAGATCGAAAATCCCTGATTGGTGGATTTTTAGCTGGCAGAAATCTGATTGGTCGAATGCGCAAGATCGAAAACCCGTGATTGGTCAATTTTTAGCTTGCAGAAATCTGATTGGTCGAAAGCGCGAGGTCGAAAATCCCTGATTGGCTGATTTATTAGATTGAAAAAAGCTGATTGGTGGAAAGCACGAGGCCGAAAATTCCTGATTGGCTGATTTATTAGGTTGAAAAAACCTGATTGGCCGGAAGCGCGAGGCCGAGAACCCTTGATTGGCAGGTTTTTTAGCTTGCAGAAATCTGATTGGTCGAAAGCGCGAGGTCGAAAACCCCTGATTGGTCAATTTTTAGCTTGCAGATATCTGATTGGTCGAAAGCGCAAGGTCGAAAATTCCTGATTGGCTGATTTATTAGGTTGAAAAAAGCTGATTGGTCGGAAGCGCGAGGCCGGAAACACTTGATTGGCAGGTTTTTTAGCTTGCAGAAATCTGATTGGTCGAAGGCGCAAGGTCGAAAACACCTGATTGGTCGATTTTTAGCTTGCAGAAATCTGATTGGTCGAAAGCGCGAGGTCGAAAACCCCTGATTGGTCAATTTTTTGCTTGCAGATATCTGATTGGTCGAAAGAGCGGGTCCGAATACCTCGGATTGGGTGATTTTTCAGGGTGAAAGTCCGATTTG